AGAGAAAGAAAGGCAGAGGAGAAGGGAAGCCCAAGAGAGGGGGAGAGGAGAGAAAGAGAGGGAGAGGACAGGGGAAACCAGAGAGAAGGGCAGAGAGGGCGAGAGGAGAGGGGAAGAGAGAGAGAAGCAGAGAGGGAGAGAAAGAAAGGCAGAAGAGAAGGGAAGAGAAAGAGAGGCAGAGGAGAAGGAAGCCCAGAGAGGGAGAGAAAGAGAGGGGAAGAGAGAGGGCAAGATGAAAGGGAAGAGAGAGAGAGGAGAGGGCATGCCAGAGAGAAGGGCAAAGAGGGGGAGAGAGAGAAGCAGAGGAGAGGGGAAGAAAGACAGTGGGGCAGAGAAGGAAAGAGAGTTAGAGGACAGGGGAAGAGAGAGAAAGAGGCAGAGGAGAGGGGAAGATCAAGAGAAGAGCAGAGAGGGAGAGAGGAGAGGGGAAGAGAGAGAGAAGCAGAGAGGGAGAGAAAGAAAGGCAGAGGAGAAGGGAAGAGAAAGAGAGGCAGAGGAGAAGGGAAACCCGAGAGAGGGGCAGAGAGAGAAGGACAGAGGAGAGGAGAAGAGAGAGAGAGGAGAGAGGAAGCCAGAAAGAAGAGCAGAGGGAGAGAGAGAGAGCCATGCATCATACAGGTGTGGCCAGCAGGGCGGCAGCAGAGGGCAAGTGAAACCATGAGCTCATATCACAGCAGCTCAGGCAAACAAGACATTTTATATTTATTTATTGCAGGTGGTTACACAAGTAAACAATTTTCTAATGATATATTGTAATAAACTGGGTTCACATCACTCTGCAATAGTCTGAGTCACTAAAGTTATAATTTATATTATTTAGACACACTTTAATTTACATAGTGAACCCAAATAATGAAAAATTTCCAATACCAGTCAATCCTTCACTTTTCACACACCATCACGTACTTTATTGTGACTTTCTTCATATAGCAGATATTATAATATTTGTTTCAATAAAAATGTCATCTGAAATGTCAGTTGTTGTTGATAAAGTTTGATAGTTCTGTAAAGTTCATATCAAGTGACCTACATACTGTGCAACGTGTCAGAAACTTGTCATTAAAGGTGCACTATGTCACTTTTCCAGTGGAGGGTCTGTCATTTTCTTGCCTCTATGGAGATTTTACTGCCTTGCCTAAAAATGTCCACAGTATGGGATTCTCTGTCTCAATGGAAACAAGCAGGGACAGGTCAGATCTGTGGAGGGACACCACTTCTCACAGTAATAACACATGCTTTTCAAGGTATTTGTAAGCACCTGTAATTAAAGTGCAATATAGATAATGCCATACTGTGGAACATTCCAGGCAAATGAATACAGGTCACTGAAGCAGAGGGCAGACACTTGCAGAAAAGTTACATCGTCCACCTTTAAGATAATAAGGATTAAAGGGAATAGTTATAAATAGCTTGAGGTCGTGAGGTTTATGCAAGTGAGTTAAAGCTCCAGTTTAAAGCAGCGTCGTGTGAAGAAGATTTATGAATAAGGAGGTGAGGAGGTGGGCGGGGATAAGGGCCTGTCCTGGGTCAGCAGCTGTTGCAGGCTGGGGTCACATGACAGAATGTATAAAGAAGAAGTGGACTAAAGGAAGTGTGACGTCACCCATAGCGCTCAGCTCCAGTCAAATGAAGCTCATCAAGGCTGTTATAGGAGCGTTTCTATGGAAATGTGTTACAGAGCTAGATCCATATTAGGAACAGGAATTTATTTATGGACAAAACAGTGAAATAAAAACACCAGGATCATGTAGAACAGGTTAATACTGTGTCAAGGCTTTAATAGAGGAATGCAGGTCCAACGTGGAAAACCCAGAAAATACACAAGGCTCAACTCATCTTGAAGACTTTTGTGGAAATTTTTCAGCATCTTGAGTAGTAGCAGTAGTAGTAGTAGTAGTAGTAGTAGCAGCAGTAGTAGTAGTAGCAGTAGCAGCAGTAGTAGCAGCAGTAGTAGTAGTAGTAGTAGTAGTAGTAGTAGTAGTAGTAGTAGTAGTAGTAGTAGCAGTAGTAGTAGTAGTAGTAGTAGTAGCAGTAGCAGTAGTAGTAGTAGTAGTAGTAGTAGTAGTAGTAGCAGTAGTAGCAGTAGCAGTAGTAGTAGCAGTAGTAGTAGTAGTAGCAGCAGTAGCAGTAGTAGTAGTAGTAGTAGTAGCAGTAGCTGAAGTAGTAGTAGTAGCAGTAGTAGCAGCAGTAGTAGTAGTAGTAGCAGCAGTAGCAGTAGTAGCAGTAGTAGTAGTAGCAGTAGCTGAAGTAATAGTAGTAGCAGTAGTAGTAGTAGTAGTAGTAGTAGTAGCAGCAGCAGTAGCAGAAGTAGTAGTAGTAGTAGAAGTAGTAGTAGTAGTAGTAGCAGCAGTAGCAGTAGCAGTAGCAGTAGTAGTAGTAGTAGTAGTAGCAAAGTAGCAGTAGCATTAGTAGTAGTTGGTCAAAAACCATTAAAGTAAACAAATATGTGGAATAATGACATTAAATGTACATTTTCATTAGTAATTTAATCTATTTGTATTAAAATCTATTTGCATTTAAATTAATATATTTTAATTATAATATTTCTTAATACTACAATATATTACAGATTAAATCAAACAGGCTACATTTTTAAACAATGTAACATTTTGTCAATTCATTTTTAGTCTTAAATATAACTTATTTTTTATACCATGCTCCTTTAGCTTGACCAGACATTTTACAGCCATTTACAATAAATCATTTAAAACATTTTAATAACTTAAATTACTATATATATTTTTTTAAATGTATTTATTAATTTACTGTTAATTAAATTGGGACATTTCATAAAATAAATCAGCCAACTGCATTTACAATCTAACTAAGGCTTCTCATTGTGCTATTTAAATGAAACAGAATATTCACTTTACTTGTAAATTAAGACAGATTATTTTTACACTGATTATCTTTAAGATCTTAACACAATTTTCACTATTTTAACTATACTTAAAAAGAACTATACTTGGTTTGCCTGCATGTGTACCCAGGCCTAATTCAATGAGTGCAGCAGACACTAGCGGCTCACCTGTACTTTGTTCTTTTTGGCCACATTTTAAGACCAAAATGCTGCAAAATGCAGCAGTTACAGAGAGAGGGGTGACAATTTTTCAGTGTAAAGTCATGGAGCCGGAAGTGCCCCCATGTTCACTTCCTGTTTGAAATGTGGCGGCTAGCAGGTCATCTATGGTGACATTCTGAGATGGAGGAATTTGCAGTTTCAGGAGGTTTGTTGACCTGGTTTATGTTAAGGCACTATCACACAAAACTGACTATTGTGAGCTTTATAATGTTATTTCCTCAAAAACACACCTGGAGTTGTGTTTTGTTTTATTCACACATGTTTGAGTAACACTTTAATTATCAGTCTGTGTACATCTCCAAAGCTCAAAATGCTGATAATAATACTCATAATAATGTTCCTGTTCTGTTCTTGATGTCATGAAGCGGTAATTTTCAAGTGAATTGCTACCTTTTACCTTTAGTTCAAGAGAGATTAGCAATTCCAGGTACGTTTTTGAAGAAGAAACATAACATAGATCAGAAAATTGTGTAATACGGTTCCTTTAAATATACACTCATATGTCTGTATTTAGTAACAAGGATTATAAGGACGTCACAGTTTATGGTGAGTGTTAAGTGAGTTGTAAGCCCCTCGTGTGTCATGTATACAGCAGATTTATGAATGAGGAGGATGTGTGCATGTGGGCGGGGTTAAGGGTCCATCCTGGGTCTGTCCTGGGTCAGGCAGCTGTGACCCGTCTCTGGCCTGGTCATGTGTCAGCTGCTCTTCCTGCTGTGGTCCGTCACACAGCTTAGTGCTAAGCTCTGTTAAAAGACACTTAGAGGAGCAGAAAAAAACTGGATTAGTGTAAAATCCCACGAGAAACGTAGGAATAAAAGCTTCAAAAGCAACTAGAGCTGCTGTTGTCCTTACATTGCCCTATTACATTAGATGAACAATTAGGTGTATTGTGTAATTTAATAAATAGACTAAGGGTTGAAAAAGATACCCGCCCACTTTCCTATACTATTATGAAAACTGACTTCAGATAGTTCGTGCAGGAGTACAAATATTGTTTAGCCATTTTTCAACAAGGAATGTCTACTGCTTGCTACTGTGAAATACAACTACGACACGAACTTCTAAATTCTGCATTTTAACAGAAGTCCTTAAATCAGTTTACAATTAACTAAATTTAAACAGTGATCTACATATTATAGTAGAAGAAATACAAAAATACATGTCTTTTTAAAGATGACAGAAAGCAGAACTCTGAATTAAATGGTTTATTCAATAAGAAATGTTACAAATGTGATCATTTGCTCTAATATTACTTCCATAAAAGTGTCTGACAGTTTGAACAGAGGATTTCCAGTAAATTGCACAACGGACATCAATGTCATATCACAATAACAAAGGTTTGGTTAGCAGAAGCATTGTGCGTGTGTGATCTGTGCACAAAAGTTACTCAAATCTGGCACTAGTTAAATTGGACTTAAAGCTGTCTGCTACTACTTTTATTTGTAAATAAGCAGTGTATAAAAATATAAAAGGCCATTTAAGATTCAGAAATAGCACATCAGCTGTAGTTAAAATGACAAAGCCATGACTGGTGTTTCTCCACTCACACTCTGAGTAAGGCTTCAACCGCTGACCTATCATTGAGTAAAATTACTTTAGAAACAAATATATTTAAATAACTTTCAAGTCAAATCACCACTTCAGGCGTCCAAATGACCCAATATTCACTGCTCAACTAAAACCTTCTAACTGACAACCCTTTCCACTCGTCTAGGAGAAGAAAAGCACGGTGTATTCAATGTTGGCATACGACAAAATGAGAAGAAACAAAATATGTACAGCACAAAAAACATTGTATGCAATATGCAAAGGCGTCATGTTGCTATGGGCAACACCCCTCTCCCTCCCTCCCTCCCTCCCCGCCCCCCCCCTCCCCTAATATAAGTCAGTCTTCACTGAAGACCCCTCTGTCCATAGCCCCCCTCCCCCCCCCCACAGACCCGCTCACACACAGGACATCACAAACACGATTACGTCACTAAGCCTGTTAGTTTGGAAAACGGTGAAGTACTGTGAAGCTCCGCCCCTGCCCACAGGCTCCGCCCCCTCACTCTGACACAGGGGAGGGCGCTGTGGTGCAGTCGTTCCACTCGTCCATCTCCGGGTTGTACACTTCGATGGTTTTGAGGAAGTCGTTTCCGTCGAATCCGCCCACAGCGTAGATGGAGTTTCCGAGCATGGTCACCCCGGCGTTACTACGGGAGATAGTCATACTACCCAGCATCCTCCACTCATTACGCACTGGATCGTACACCTCCACACAGCGCAGGGCGTGGGAGCCATCGAACCCGCCAACCACAAACAGTTTACCTGCACAACAGATATTTATACTTTAACTCATGATTCAATTCCCATCATACCGCAATGTCCAGACAATCTACTATTTTGGTCATTTACTATTTCACAGCCTCTGTTCAAACAAACACTCATTCACCCCCACTTCTACTGGTCAGCTTCTGTAAGGCTCTGAGTGATTGATAGGTGGATTTAACCATTTGCAGTGACGTGTGAACCCTCAGAACTTACAGCTTATTACTCACAACATCCTACAGACCAGTAATACTTAATACATATAGGGGAGAGCTGAAATTAATATTGCTAAAATGCTGACTGTTTTGCTCTAAGAAAACTGATATGAATTCTTTGCCATATCGCCCACCTTAAAACTTTTTAACCCCTCCAAACCCCCTCCGTGCTCTTACCTGCGTGGACAGCGACTCCGGCCCCCCTGCGAGCCACGTTCATGGGGGCGACCAGGGTCCAGGTGTTGTTCTCTGGGTTGTAACGCTCCACACTGTTCAGACAGTTCCACGACTCTGCTCCTCCAATCACATACATGAAGCCCTCCAACTCACACACAGCTGCCTGGTGCCTCCCTGGAAAAAGTTAAGTACATTCATTTGCTGTTCCTTTATGGAGGCTGTTGTATAGAGCTGCATCATTTTGGAATAAAATCTGACCAAGTATCGTGACTGACTAAAAAAGTAGCATTCTGTTCACACTGTAAGAGTCTGTGCACAATGTAAACAGTTTCAGGAGAATCACTATTGGACCCAAAACTGAAATACGAACTGATAAACCAATACAAGAATCCAATGCATTTTGTTGAAGTCTAAACTACAATAAAAAAGGAGATTCTATATAAATATTATTGAGATTATTAGTGGTTCAGAGGCTTGAACTTCTTTTTTTTCTTTTTAGATAAGCCTGTAGTGTCTGAGTCACTTACTGATGTTAAGAGAAGCGCAGTTGGACCAAGTTTTGGACACAGGGTCAAAAGCATCACAGTTCTTCAGGCCTTTCTGCCCACAAGGATCTGAACCGCCCACCACATACAATTTGTTGTTCAAGGAGCAGACACCTTCAAAAAGACAACAAAATAACTTAATATAAAAATGGTAATATTTTAGTAATCTTTCTGACTCTGTTGAGGACTGACCTGCATTACACCTGTTTGTCCTGAGCTCTGGCACTTGCACCCACTCATCACTGTGTGGGTCATATGTCTCTCCACAGCTCAGCTCATCAGAATGTCCATTAGATCCTCCAATCACGTAAAGCTGACCCTGAATGGAAGAAATCATAACAAATGAGCAACCACCACTTGCAAGTAATTATGCATTTCGTAGGATTTCTAAAGCTAGTTTACCATCAGCACAGCCATCTGAAAGCGAGCCCGGGGAGTCCGCATGGGAGCGATGAAGGTCCAGTGGTCTTCTGCAGGATCATAACACTCCACAGTCCTCAGACACTCCTCTCTGTTGTAGCCTCCTGCAGAAAGATCAAACCAAATGTTATAAGCACAGTCTTAAAAGCTTTGTGTTTTACTAGCCAAAAGTGAAGCATCCAAACGAACCAAAACAAATATGGAAATACAGAGATTCAATTCAGCTTCTTTTAACATGGACTACCTTCTGTACTTATTTCAAAAACAAGTGCTTTGTGCATTTGTGAATAGGAAAATGTCTGCTGCTCTCTCCACTGGTTTTAACTAGATTTTTAGCCAAAGAACAATTTAAAATAACTTAAAATAACTCAGATGACAAAAAACAGGTAGAGCACTTCACTGGGTCATAAAAGAGTAAAAAAAATAGCAGTACAGGTGCTCTACGAGGGTTAAAACAATAGTCTAAACAGAAAGTTACCCTTACTGGAAAATGTAAAAGTGGGCAAGGTACAAACCCGAGGCACTCCCGACTGGATATATTAAAAGTCCTTCATTTCATAAAAGCGTTTTACCCAGAAAGATTGCCTTCGTCATGTTTACATTTTCCAGTAAGGGTAACTTTCTGTTTAAAAACTTAAAATTACTTTCACAACAACAAACAAAGCTGACTCGTACCTGCTGCGATGAGTTTGCCATTGAGAGCCGCGATGCCAAGTCCAGAACGAGCGTACTGCATGGGAGACAGTGGGTGCTCCTCCAGATCCTCGGGTTGGGCCTCAAAGCTCAGGCTCTTGAGCAGACAAGGAGTGGCTGAAGGGGAGGTCTGAGGGCTGCTGCGGCCATGGAGGAAGATCACACACAGCACGCCGTCCAGCACCGCCAGGCACAGGTACGTGTTGTCTGATGGAAGAGCAAAAACACTCAAAATACAACTCATTTAATAATGCCACACCGGGACATTCCAGACAAAACAGCATCTCCAATGACCGATGGTGGCCAAAGATCGCAGGGGTTTATCTGATTAAAGGGTCCTGCTACTTGAGAATCTTAGTTGGGCAAAAATACCTTGTTGATTTATGTGGGGAAAGGGGCGGTTTTGGACTACTGGACCCAGAAAATCTAATAAAAGCAACTTCAAGGGAGAATTGGTGGAACCAAATATTCAAACATGTCTTACTTGTGGTCTTCTCAGAGGCGATGTACTTCCACTCTTTCCTGGCAAATTGTTTGGGTGCGTTGGCCGCCTGGTTGGAGGGGGACAGACTTCCAGTGGAGCTGCAGCTCATCTGTCTCTGGGCGCTCTCACGTACAGGCTTCTTCTGCAAGAGCACAGGCAGCTACAGGAGCCAGGCCAAAGAACCAAGGGCCCGACAACGGCCAACCAAACACCAAACCACACCACAAGACCACTCCGATCTAAAGAAGCCTCTGATATGCCCAACCAGGCCAATAAAACCAACTAAACCAACTAAGACTTCGCTGAATGATTTGAATTATATTTGACTAGTTTGGAAGCCAATTTACTGCTTATTGATACTTTGCTTTGATGTCATGTTCAGCAAAGTACCAACAGGCGGAGTTTGCAATCACCATTTCCTGCAAACCAAAAGTGACTAGTCTGAGGAGCAGCTGGTCTCGAGCTGTACCTGCACAAACTGAAGGTGGTCCTCGTCCCCCCCAAACACCTCACTGTGGCCCTCTATCAGCAGCCCGCCGTCCACCAGCTTATGGTCAGGCGAGTAGTACAGCGTTTGCACCTGTAACACAAACAGGAACAACCCATGTGGCTGTGTCCATGGCAACACAAAGAAGCCCCCACCGTTTTTGGGGAAACAAGAAAACACGCCGGATGGGATTTGAAAAGGAAAGCTGGAAAACCCATGGCTCTTCAGTCTGAAGGAAAACCTTCATTTAAAGTTAAGATCGCCGCGCTGTAAAGTATTTAGGTTCAAGACAACATCCCGTCAATGTGGACAGTCTTCATTTGCATCTAAAAGAAAAGCTGGTGAAGACAAACAGCTGCATCTGGAATGAGTCTTCAGTGTAGAAAAACAGAGGCCTCTCGTGGCCCCTGCGCTCCTTTGCTGCTTAGCAACCAGTCCTCAAGATGGAGACGCCCGCATCACTGACGGCAGCCACCATTCGCAGTCAGATCCAGATGACAGCACCGCGTTAATGTTATGAAACCTAATCCGCCGACACCTCTCGGGGTTGACAGGCTTTTAGCGGGTGGCATTTTATCAGGGCATTATGTAATTGTTCCATGTTATTTTTTGCCATTAATATTATGTTATGTGTTACTATTGGAATTACAAGTTGCATATTAAGTTCAGCTAGAAGTGGTAGAATTAATTTTAGCATGGTGTTATCAAAACTTCGACCTCATTTTGTCAATACTAAAAGTTCTTTCCATTTCAATACTAAGGGATATGCTTGATACTTAATGCCAGTTTTTTATATAGTTAAAATGTTCTTTTGTGGACAACAGAATGTAATTTTTATCTTTTTATTTTCTTTTTAAATTTGTTGTATTTAATTTTATTTGATTGTACATTTATTATTTTTGTGAACAATAGAATGTAATTTAGCTTAAAAATACTTTCTATAATGTTAGCATGTGGTTCTATACTAGATCTGATATACAGCAAGACTAGACTGTTCAGGAAAAGTCACATTTTTGAGAATTTTTCAGTATTTGCAGTATTAAATGGTCCTTTACTATAATAGTTTTAATACTAGACAAGTTTAAGTTTGGCAAGTCTAGTAGTTTTGATTTTGTTTTGTAATAAGACTTTGATAACCCTATGCTTAGGGCTAGTGATTTTGGTATTAGCAGCATATTTGCATGTATAATGTGATTTAATTATATCTAAAATGTGCAAAAGTGCGCCGTGTCCTGGTGCTGTACAAGCAGGATGCTTCTGTAATAGTGGCACACAGATGGCCGTCCTCCCCCTCATTAACCTGGTGCTTCAGTCTTGGTCCTGGGTCCGGCTCTGCTGCTGCTGCTGCTAATAAACCTACAGAGAGATAAATCAACGGGGAGGAGGTCCTGTTAGTGCTGGGTCCATAACAACACCTGTCAGAGTAAAGTTACAGTTAGGATTAAACCTGCTCAAGACCTGTGTCTCTGCTTCTGGGGATGGGGCAAGATCTCTGGCCACAAGATCAGATCACAAATTTAAATTGACACAAGTGTTTTCTTGTCCGAGAATCAGAAAGTGTGTGCTTAGCATGCTAGTTTTTAGAATTACCGTAACTGCAAACTCCAGTCTGGCTTCTGAAAGTTGTTAAAAATCACTTAAAAAACTGCAATGAATAAAAGGTAAAATGAGGAAAAACTTTGGACCACTGTAAACCACTTAAATTGAAGTTCTGTTCTTCACAGTTTAAGACACAAATCAGGTACAGCTCTTTTAAAATGGACTAGTTTTTCTCTTGAGAAGCAGCAGTTGAAAAATACAAAATACATTATTTTAAAATAGTGAAATTAACCACACATTTTTCAAAATTAAGTCAAAATTTGGTCTTTTCTTGTACTTGTCTCATCTTGTGACAATAGACTCTTGTCCCATCCCTATGCGTTTCAGATTTGGAGCGCCTCTAGTGTTCAGATGTGGTTGTATACTTTAATACAGCCACATACCAAAAAGAAAACTGTAGGAATAAAAGAAGGAAGAGCAAACACCAGCTCCTGTTACAAAGCTCACCTCTGATTTGGAGTTTGAATCGGGAGAGAGGGGGAGTTGCTTACAGCCAAAACCTCAACAAATCAGAGGAAAACAGAATAATCCTGACAGCAGCATGCCTTTTCTATTTCGGCCCCTCAATGGCTTGTTAATGTCAAAAACAGGCGGACACGGGGGGAGGGGAGGAGTAGAAAGAGTTAAAAAAAGACAAGTGAGCGTACTGACCTCTTCCATCAGGCGCTCCAGGTGGTCTCCGTTCTCCCACAGGCTCCTCTGCACCCAGCTCAGCACCTTTGAGTACAGCTTTCCATTGCTGGGCAGGGCCAGGTTGTCTTCTAGCATTACTTCTAACTGTAAACACACATAGTAAAGAGTGTAAGGGAAGAAGATGGCTGCATGTTGTAATAGCAGTAATAGTAGTACAGAAAGCACTCTAGGTTTAACACCCTTGACCTGGCATTACTTTGAACTGTAAAACACACAAAGCAAAGAGTGAGGAAAGATCGTTGCATGTAGTAGGAGTTGTATTAGTAGTAGTAGCAGCAGTTGTTCATACAGAAAGCCCTCTAGGTTTAACACCCTTGACCTAAATACAGTTTTTAATCCTATATTTCTCATAGCAAATCTTATTGTTAATCCAGTATATCTTAGCTCCTCAATAAATTAAAAGCATTAGTAGAATTACATATAGGCCATAGCATAGTTTCATTAATATGTATGTATGTTTAAAAAAACAAAACAAAAACAGGTTTATTGTGTAACTTTTCTAATTAAGGGTCCACCACCTACTTGTCTCCAAGGACTTGTTAATGCTTTTCTTGAAATGTTGTAATACTATGACATGGTTCTTGGTCAGATCTATGGAGAAGACAAGCCCCCAATTCAAGAAATATTTATAAACTTAATGCCATACTGTGGAACACTGCAGGTAAACCAAAACATCCCCATGGAGACAAGCTGATGATTAACCCTTCTCTAGAAAAGTTGCGAACCTTTAACACAACCAAGTGCTACTAATGAATGTGACAAATAACTGAATGAATTAGTACAAGTCATAATTTGGTTCATTAACATGTCCCAATCTTAACCAGTGCAGAAATGTAATTATACGCATTTTACTGACTGCATTGCTCATTTAAATTTTACTTTGTCTACATTTCCTGCAATTTTTTAAATTATATTTTTTACTTTATACCTTAAGGCAGTAAATTTAAGCAATTACATTTCAGTTTACATGTTACAATTACATGTTAATTTATTTTTTTTAGATGCATTTAAAGTAGTGACCTTGAGGCGGGGGAGTTTGAGGAAGTCCTCCTGTTCAGACACTTCCAGAAGATGGTCCTGGATGTAGGCGTCCACTTTGGCCAGAACCCGGGCATCGAACATGGAGCTGGCAAAGTTACGGAAGGAAATGGCGTTCTGGGAGTCCATCTTGGACAGCAGGTAGTCTCCACAAATCTGAAGGAGTCAAAGAAAGTTGAAATGTAGTTAGACATTTTCAAACTTCATACATTTCATAAGTTGCACTGTTGTTCTGTCTATACTGCCAATTTTTATTTAAAATGGACCTAGTGAAATTGGTCTTGCCCCAGTACAATAAAAGCAGCTCTAGAGGTCAAAATAAGTGCAGCATGTGCCGTCTGCATCTACTTATGGAGCATTTTACCCTCCCAGAATCAGGAAGTGCATGGTTAGCATGCCAATAGCATTACAGTCATGGTATAACACCACTCCTCCTCTGAAAATTGAGGAAAAAGCTTATGAACCAATTGCGGTGAATAATTAAGATGCTCAGAATTTTTCACATTTTAAAAGACGGTACAGCAAACATTTCCCATACCATCCCTGGTGGATTAGGAAGTTTTGCATTTAAAAATAGATAGAATACCTGTTTGACACGCTCCATCTTAAACCGCTTGGCTGCAGAGTACACATCCTTCACCAGCTCTCTGTCTGCCTTCAGCCTGTTTTCCAATTACAAGAAAAAGGTGTCATGTCAGTCAACCCATTGGAAAAAAATGCCCAAAACAATAAGTGAAATCTCAACTATGCGGTTCTTACTGAGCAGTGTAGGCGTAGTTGAGTAACACCTCTACAGCCTCTGGGTCCAGATCTTCAAAAGTGACATGGGAGACTCCGTGGGGCTCCAGGTCACTGTTGAAGATCTCAAAGAGGTACGGGCTACAGCAGGCCAAGACTGCACGGTGAGCCATCAGTTCATGACCACGCACCTGGAACAACAGAGAAACATAAGTATTTGTGTTCAAATCAAAATCTAACTTCTTTTTGGCATCATGATGAATTTGCATTAAAGGTGCACTGTGTAACTTATTGTTTGAGGGTCCATCACCTAGTTTCATGGATATGTTACGGCTCTGCTTGGAAAGTTCCACACCATGGCATTAAACAGATCTACCTTATTTATTCAATTAGTTGGTTTCATAGCTCAAAAATTCCTTTAAAAAGAGGCATTCTGAATGTGAGCAGGGCTGGTTTCTCTTCTTTCTGTACCCTTTTATTAATTTCTTGTATGTTTAATGTTATGACACATTAAATTTTAAAGTTACAATTAGTCTCTTATGTATAAAACCCATTGTTGCCAAAACCTCCTTGTTGAATCTCAGAAGCTAAGCAGACCATTATATACCATTTTATTATTGTTTGTATCCTTATTACTTTAGACTTTAATGAAAAATGGGAAACTTATCATCTTAGCAACTCATATTCTAGTCTTCTGTCAAATGTTTTTGCTCCTGGATTAGTTTAAAATGTGAACTCTGAACAGAACTCACTAAAACATAAAATTTCAAATTCAATCTGATTTCAAAGCTTAAGATTTTAAATGAAGAGTTCTTTACTAAAATATTTCAGCCCGAGTTTCCAGTTGGACCCATCCTACAACTTTACAAAACCAGTACTGACGCACATCATGTTCTTTTTTTTAAATTTGCTATGGGAATTTCCCGCAACTCATCCCGGGAACTCTTGCACAATTTACAATACTTTTCCTGTTATGTTCCAGAGGCATCCAAGGCTTTTTCAAACATTAAAAAGTCCTTTCAACCATTTTTAGTTTCAAATTCCCAGTAGCGCCTCAAAATATATCGCAAGGTTAGCCAGAAAATGAATTCATACAAAAAAATTTAAGTGATATGGAGCGTGGCTATCAATGCCTATACTATAAATGGAACTCAAATGGCAGGGACCAATCAAAAAAACACTAAAAAGATTATTTTACTATTATTTTTCATATAAATTTACTAGTATATAGGTTGCTTGTTTTCTAATAAAAGCTCTCAATTCTACTGCATTATCTACTTATTATTGCTTATTATTTGTGCTTTCATTTAATACATTTTACAAGAGAGCGGAAAAAAAAAAAATAAAGGTGCTTTGTGTAACTTGGAGATGTTACTGGTTTGTCTGGAATGTTTCACAGTAAGGCATTAAACCTATCTAACTTCATGGAGACCAAACCAGACCAAGTTACAGGCCAGATCTGTGGAGAGGCGACCACGCTCAGTCAGAATACCCGTTTTTCTAGTATTTTTGAGCAGTAAAATCCCCTGTAATTGAATAAACATTCCAGGCATATCCACAGAAACTAGCAGAGGCAAACCTTCAACCAAAAAGTTGCATAGTGTACCTTTAAGTCTTATTTAGCCTGGCTTACAATGTGATTTTTATTTTGAACACAGTATCAGAATGATCCATTATTATTAAAATAATCCAAATAGTGATATCAAATCCCCCATTGTTCCTATAGTCCAGCATTAGTCCCCAGCTTTGTTCTCTTTACCTTGTATTACCCCTGTACTACTGTAGTGCTTCTCACAGTGACTCAGACTCTTAAACAGCCACTTACTCACACGACGCTGTAATCTTACCTGAAGTCTGACGTCACAGAACTGACCACTCTTTCTCAGAGCGTTCATTTTGGCCACGGTGGAGTCCAGGAAACTCTCATCCTCGAAGATCAAATATCCGTTTGGAGTCATCTTGATAAATTTTCAAAGATTTGCCTGTTTAAAAAAAAAAATAAAAATTACATTACAAAACTAGAAAGGACTATACATTACCCTGCTTGTTAGGCATCCATTCATATGCCTGCCCTGATAATTACTACATACTTTCTGTGCACTGTGCAGTAATAATTTTTAGGTGTCAACATTTATCATGGGTACTTTCTTTGCCAATGGGAAGTTTTGAGTTATTTTCTTCACTATAATGTAATCTCTGCTGTAAAAGGGTGAATAAATAATTTCTATGACTCATAATAGACACAAACTAACTACTAAAGCTTTTAATTCCACTACTCATTTCTTGCAGCTCATGTTTTTGTTCTACTATTGTACTTTAAGAATAGTCATTTAATCCTGCTCAAGGGTTATTTTGTCAGTGGCATAAATTAATTTCAGTATTATGATTTATTGCCTAAATAGCATCAACAATCCCTAGGGGTGTGAAGCTAACTGAAAGCACTACTCTGTCTGAAGCTCTGTTACTCGAGTTAGACGTAATCTGATCTTTATTTGAACATTTGAAAGAGCAGAGTTAATTGAACTACAACAGCTGATTTGTATGCTTAAACAAGTTTCTCAGTCTGTTTTTTTTGTTTTGTTGAAAATTTAAATTCTAAACAGTACTATGAACACTTTTTTTTTTGAGTTTTCAGACAATATTAAAACATTTTTGGCAGTCACCATGGTGGAATATTCAACAGTTTCCAATAGAGTTACTGGCACTTCAGATTTTGTTATCCTGACAGATCCATTCACTATCCACTCAACTGTGCAATGTGGTAATGGCCTGCTTCATTAATTGATGACCAAAGAGTTGAGAGATTAGGTTTAAGCTTAATGTGAATCATGTAGTATAGTCTGTCCTATACATTAGTAATAGCCTTACCTAATAGAAAGCAATTCAAATCCAAGGAGGAGCAACTGCTGCAGGGAGGAAGAGGAAACACCAGGCAAAGCTGACCAAGCAGTTAGTCGTCTTCACCCGATGGGGGCGTAGTTAGAAGAGATGCCAGTCGACGACGCGGCCCGACAAACTATCAGGCTTCAAGCGACTAATCAAGTCCTCGGGAACCCGTTGGCTATAGATTGGCTCCTATCCTGTGTTGGTCAAACATTGTAACCTGGAAGAGGAAAGAAGAAACAGAAATAAGTATAAAATTTCATTATGATTTTTCTGACGAGCTTTAAATGGTCATGGTCAATTGTCACATTTTTGATATAGCGTTTTTCCACCTTCGAGACACCACCCACCCATTCACACACCAGTGTATTCAGACACTGGGGGTGAGTTGGGTTAAGCGCCTTGCCCAGGGACACAATGACACCATTTCAAATCAGTGGACAAAAGCTTTACCAACTGATCTGACATTTGAGATTTGTTTTAATGATGGATTCTGTTCAAGGTTCACATTTTAATGCATCAGAAGAATTGACAAAGGGACAGAAATATGAACTGATAAACTAATGCAAGAATTACATTTCAGAAAAGGGCTGAACAATCAGGGGGGAAAAGCATCGAGTTGAGATTTTGCAATTTACGTTTTAATAGGATTCTGTTCAGTTTTCAATTTACATTTTAAACACGCCCAGAAGAATTGACAAAAAGACTTTAATAAAACTAATGCAAGAATAGAATTTGAGAATATGTACAGATCGGGGTAAGTAGTTTTTAATGCAGGAAGGAAATTACACCGTTTGCGATCTGCCAATTGTGTCCATTGAAGTTAATTTTGCAGCCCTAAATAAGTGAGTTTTAAATGTTCCCCTGTTGGTCGCTGTTGTTAGGGCAGGTCGTTAGCATTAACATGAGTAAGCCCCACATGGTGAGCCTCATGGGGGATGGAGCCGAGAGACCGTTCAAAATCAGCTGCTCCTATTGTCCGGTAACTTTCCACTCAGGCCAAGAAGGAGTACCATTAATACTACAAACAATACTACTACAAAATGAGAAATTCTGCATACAATTCCAGGTAATCAACTCCGTACTTCAACTTGAATGGACCAAAATTTTCTTTCCATGCTCAAAGAATTTAAAAGAAAAATGTGTTGTCTTAAATTGCAGCTACAAGCCCAAGTAATCCAATGAAGTTATTTTCCAAAACTTTTAGGACAGAAACTAAAAGCACAATCAATATTTCCTTAAAATGAAACCAGCTAATTCTGCATATAGTTTTAGATAAATCCATACTTAAGAAATTCAAAAGGGACAAAAATAGCTTTCAATGTTTAGAATTCGAAACACAAAACTTCAATTGTTCACTTGTAATCTTGTTTAGTGCTTCTCCAAAAACTTCAAGCCAAGAGCTAAAAGCACAATCAATATTTCCTCAAAATTAAACCAACTAATTCTACATATATTTCTAGACAATTCCATAATAGATTTAAAAGGGGAAAAAATCCATGTTCAAAGATTTTTTAAATGCTTCAATTTCAAAATATCTTCACCTGTTGCCACAAGACACAAGTAAAAATATTAAATTTCATGCCTGCAAATCCAGTTTAGCACATTTCCAAAACAGGCCATAAAGCCAAAGATCAAGCAACATATCTACAAAATTAAACAAATTCTGCATTCAATTTTTGATAATATGAATAAAAATCAGCTTTCCATGCCCACCATTTGAAATTTTAAAAATCCAGTATCTTCACCTGTTGTCACATGGGTAAAGTAAAAAGGTTAAATCCATTTCAAGCCTGTGCCTCTGTCTCTCCCATCTGAAGTCAAAGCCCTGCAGCTCTGGCTTATGTGGTGAGATGAGCCCCCGGCACTGGCCCCACCCCCTTTAGGAAGTCTATTCACACACTCTGGCCTATAGGGACAATGAGGTGTCACAGTCACACAGGGATTTCAGAATTAAACTAAAAATTATTCATGTTAAGATTTTAGTGAGAAGAAACAGCACGACTTTACAATTTTTCACAATTACTAATACAGAAATTAAAAACATCCTTAATTCACTTTTCATGTTGTTAACAGATCGCAGTTCCTATATTCTGTCATCAGCGTTAGGAAATCAAAGTTTCAAAATGATTCAGTTAAAAGGTCAGATTTTAAAAAGGGTCCTTATTTTGTCAAACGCTTTTCACCATGGAGATGTTATTGCTTTTTCTGGAATGTTCCACAGTATAGTATTAAACCATTCTATTTTCATGGAAACCAAACCAGACTAAGTTACAGGTCAGATCTCCGGAGTGGTGACCCCACTCAGAGTCAGAATGAATGTTTTTCTAGGTATTTTTGATCCATAAACCCACCTGTAACTGAATACATGTAAGGTAGAGCCGTTTAATGTCATACTGTGGAACATTCCAGGCAAATCAATGACGTATCCATAGAAACAATCAGGAGATTGACCCCCCAACCAAAATGTTACGTAGTGCAACTTTATTTTTAGAAGCAAAATAAAGCTTATTTACTCAGTTGTGGTTGCGTTTCCCTTCCAAAATTCCAAAAGAGAACATTACAAATACTTGGTCAGAAAACACTCCAAATCCAACAGCCAACATGTATCTGGTATCTGCCACATATGAAAGCTTTAGATTAGATCCACAGATTACATTATCTGCCACACCCCAGACCGTAAACACAAGCATGCTTATGTAATTTAAGTGCTGCCTTCAAGTTGATTTTAATGCCATGTGTTAACTTGCCCGCTTCAGTCTGGATAAAGTGGATTAAAAATAGCCAGCCAAGTTTTATGGTTTAAATATTCAAGACTTAATGTGAGCAGTGCAACATTTTAAAAGCAGGGGGCACCGTTTCAGATATTTTGCTATTGTAGAACAAACTATAAATTCTACAGTTCATACAAGTTTTGCCAAGATACTAAAATTTTAAACCAAAAAAACCTGTTCAGAAAAGCTCAAATTTGGACTTGCTAATATGATTTTTTGCAGTATTGATTTCTTTTCAAATAGGCATCTAGTTGCAATATTAGTTTTAGTATCAATCAGTTTCTCATTTGATACTTTTGAAAACACTAGCTCATGCAAAAGATTCAAGTTTTTTTTTTTTAATCCATCAAGTAATATTTTGCACATTAACATGACCGCAGATGGCAGCTGGGGTTAATACTGAAACTCTATCTACTCCATGTGTTACTTCTGAGGAGGACCAAGTATGCAACTTCATAAAAAAAAAAAAAGACAGACATTTATAGAACGGTTACATCTGTCACTTTAGCCAATGTTACATAATCTTCAGTAATGCATTCCCAACAAGACGTTCTCTTCGCAATAAAATCTAAGGCTGTCAGTAACCATTAACTGGAATAATCATTATTAGTCTATTACGGAAAAATATTTGCTCCAATTTCCTTATCAGTAGTCATTACCTGGACTAAAAAAAACAAGTAAGCCATTTGTGACTTTAATATATGTAAAATGCTCAACAAGTAATCTAAAAGACTTTAGCTGTCATAATTTCTTCTTTATCAGATTAACATTTCTTTTCAATACTACAAGCGAGTTAAAAACACAAACAACTGGATTTATAATCTCCATCTTATTCCTGGGTATCTAAACTCTGCATCAGTTAATTATTTTCAACATGCAATAGAGATAATCACTATAAATAATCTATAATATAAGTCTATGAAAACATGTTTAAGTGGTACATTTCTTGATCTCCAAAATCAAAAATTGGTGCATTAATTTTAAGCTTTTTTATAGTCTTAAGCAGAAATATGTTTAAGTATATATCTAGAGATGCTTTAAGTTTTAAGAGTACATTTAAACTAGGGATGGGCATGATTAGTCGATTAATCGATAATTGATCATTAAGAATTTCATCGATTACGTTCATTTTAATCGACAAACCGAATGTGCGTAGCGTACCGTGCAACTTCTGCAACTTACTGAAGTGCAAATGCGAACGATGTGCGACGATGACTTGTACAAAAAATTCCACGCTTTCCGTTCGGGACAAGTGTGAGTCCATGTGCACAGTGTATAAAGCAGCACATATGTTTCGGTGTCCAGCGGGAAAAAGCTTTGCCAGCTGAGAGTCGCGCAATGTCGATGACGAGTCCCGACCTCCCACCTCCCGTACGGTGTCCTGGTTTTGACAAACGCAAATCTGGTCACACTAACCTGTATTCACCTGAGTTGTGTCTTTTAATTCGACAGAAATTGACCGCATCTGCGCACAAGAGCTGTATTTTTTATCTTCGCTTAGTTTATGCAAATTAGCGATGCGGTTTTAAGTTTCGTTTCTGTGAGAGTTGCGCAAAACTGAACTAAACACAATATAATCTAAAACGGATTGATGTGGCTCTAGAGTCGTTACGGTTTATATGTCGTAAAGTTGAATTTATTTATGCAGATTAGTTGTGTAGATAGTAATAATAATGATGATCATTTTAATATAAAAACGTTAATGATTAATCGATAATCGATCATTAATTCTTCCGACGATCGATTAAGAAAATTTCGTCGAATGCCCATCCCTAATTTAAACATTATTTTTCAAGCTGCACATGCTAGAACAATTCACCAGTTGCCCTTAGACCCTGGAGAGGCATCAGTGGCTGGCACAGGAGCGCTATAATTTCCAGTCTGTGGATAAAGGAACACTGACCCACTTTTAGCAGTTATGCAACATCTGGCTGAAGTTGTCTTGTTAAAGTCCAAAACCACTACTCCCCCCTCCTTCCCTACCTCTTCTGCACATTTTGGTTCTAAGTTACCCTCTATATGCACCCTCTCTTAATACACATGCCCTTAAGCTGTGCCGAGCTCACCCCACCCTCCCATTTATTCACTGGAAAAGTTACAGTTTTTCCATGGTGGTGATTAAAGATCATACAAACATGCAGGAACATTTTGTGCAGACTACAGGTTGTTGGTGGAGAATATGCATGGGTTCAGCTTCCTGTTATATTACAACTCGTTTTAAATTGTTAATCACTATGGCAATAGTGGAAATAATTCATGATTCTGAAACTCATAGATACGAGCCACTGGATGAAGAGAAGATGCATGTTTTCATTTTCTAGTTAGAGATTAAGGGTACTTTAAATTTAGTTTAGTTTATTTCTGACTGCAGATTTCTGTTCTCATGCTGTTCTTGTACTTTATGTTGCAACACTCAAATTTACACATTGCAGGATGGATAAAGGTTCTATGAGCTTATCTCATGGTTATTTTTTTATTAACTTCATCTGAATAGTTTAATTAAAACAGCTGTTCTTACACTTTTCACACAAAGTACTACAGAACGTATTTGGCATCCTGAGTACAACCAGATCTAAAACAGGACGGACTATTCTAGGTGTAAGTTTGGGCTAAAATACAACTAAAATGACTACATCATTGCTTTTCTAGTTTTAAAAATATAGAATCATCTGAAAAAATAAATAAATAAAAAATCTAAAGACAAATATTAGATTTAATTAAAATGTTAGTAGATATTACAGTTTGAGAAACAGCTGTGTACCCTTTACTGGTTTAAGACGTCATAAGAAAAGGAAATTGAGTTGACCAAATGCTTTTAAAAAACATTGTGGTGAGCTGTGAAAGTGGAGTCACACGCTTCACTTGACAACCTCTGGACAAAGCCAAACAAACAAAGACTTTAGACGGAAGGGATCGTTCACAACTTTGTTACCAGGCTCCCTCTCTCCCTCCTTCTCTCCCCCTCTCCATTTTTCCATCCGATTAGTCAGGCGCGAGCTCTGAACAATCAATGCTTGTTAGACACCCCTCTAGTGGCTAAAAACTGCTACTAGGTATTTCAGCAGACAGTGGAAAATTACAGACACAACGCAACAGAACTTCAACACCATGTACCTGGTTTAACAATTAAAACTAGTTGTGTTGGGGGCTTTATTGTCATGGTAATTACCAAACGGGGAACAAAAGAAGGTGCGAAATCCGGTTTTAAAATGTGAAAATATACATCCTCCAAAAAAAAAAGAAGTTGCAACACGTGAGTAATATGTAATATATTTTTCGAAATTAAAATTATCTTGATTTTTAAATTAACAGTTGTACAAACAGTCCACCACGTGCGCGTTATCTTTAGTGATAAGCAGTTGGACAATGATGATATGATGAAATTTGTTGGAACAGTGCCATAAAAGACAGCACTTCCAAAGACGTAGGTAGTTAAATAAAATCGTTTGTGCAATTTTCTTGAGTAGACGAGTCGATAAGGCTTGGCTAATGCGACGTACTACGACCTCCGGCTGCAACAGTAAAAGAAGTCAATATTATTTTGTGGGTCAGTTCAGAGACGACAAAAGACACAAAGAGCGTTAAAAGGCTGAATTGCTAAAGCACAGGATGTCCCCGTGTACCATTCCCACCCATGTTGGCATCCTACGGTGGGCATGGCTTACTACTAGACTGCGATGGTTGGTCTATTCAGTGCAATTCAATGCCATTCACCCAGTCGTTTCCTCCTCCTCCCTCTGAGTAGTAACCCCACTCCTCCACTGGACTACCACGGTGGTGCCAGTGTAATCTTTAGGGGCTGTATGTATGTACACATACATGAAGGACTTTACGCAGGCGCGCCATCCGAAAGTGGGTCAGGATAGAGCCCCCCTAAAGCTGTGATTAACTGTACTTTTTGCCTGGATTACAAACGCAGACATTACGAATATCATACCCCAGCTACGTCTCCCGCCAACCACTCCTCCGCCATGCATAGAAATATATAGAAACCGCTAAGAAGCTAGTGCGCGTTAGCTCCAGTCATCCATTTTATGAACCTGCCCGTAAAGAGAGATGTGGAGCAATGTGGCACGGCATTAATCCCCGTGATGATTTGGATGGCAACAGGCACGTGTTTCGCCAAAGAGGAAAACCACAAAATGTCAGAAAGCGAGAGGAAAGCCGGCGACAATCGGGTGCGTAATTACGGCGGCTCCGTTTGTGAGTCATGCTGCCCGCGCTATTCACAGTTAAACAAACCATATTGTTCTGCGTTATATATTCAAATAGAACAACAGATAAATGCGTTGAATTTAAATATTTGACATCAAGAGAGACAAATAACTATAAATACGCACATTTAAACGTTGCACAAACAGCGACTTCCCGTTAAAAACACGTCAATGACATTTGAATTGAAATCGGAAAATAGTCTTACCCGAGGCGTTTGACAACAGACGCTTTTAGGCATATTTAGAGTAAATTCAGAGTTTGTTGGTTTGGGATAGAAGAGAAACGCGGCAAGGCGGCGGCACGGGCGGGCAGTGAGGCTGGAAGAGGCTCGTAGGTCCGGGTGATGCGTCCGTTCCAGATGAGGCCTGGATCAGATCTGACGGTGAACGGTCCCGCTGCTCTCATGTGCTCGGACACGGAAAGCGCGCTCCCGGCAAAAAGCTTTACGTACGCCACGCCGCCTCTGACGTCATACGCAAGGGCGGTGTCTCTCCTCCCACTATACTGATGAAATCCCCCACCGCGGTGTGTCTGTGGTGAATTCACTAATGTTTAATGGTCCTCTATTACAAGAAATTCACTCTTGGGAGATTTGAGCCATATAAAAATGTTGTACTTGGAGTTGTGTTTTGTTTCATTCACACATGTTTGAGTAACCCTGCATTAGCTGTCCACATCTCCAAAGCTCAAAATGCTCTGTTCCACCTTGTGATGTCTTAAACAGCAACCTTTTACCTTTAGTTCAGTAGAGATTGGCAATTTTTCAGGTGTGAAATTATCCAAATGATTCTAGTGAAGCTGCATGAATTTAAAAACACAGTGGAGCGCTTTCTGTATTTCCACGTGACATCGCAAGGTGATTCATACACTTTCACTAGAATAATTAAATAGATTTTATCCCTGGAATTGCCAATCCCTACTGAACAAAAGTTAAACAGTAGCTGTTAATATGAAAACCACTACATGACATCATAAGGTGGAACAGAGCATTTTGAGCTTTGAAGATGTAGACAGACTAAAAATGCAAGCAGGGTTACTCAAAATGAAACAAAACACAACTCCAGGTATGTTTTTAAGGAGGTAACAACATTATCACATGGCTTAAAGCTCATAAGAGTCAATTTTGTGTAAATGGGAGCTTTAAATTATTGAATTGTTTTAGTAAATATTTGTAAAATGGCTGTAATATTGATGGGTTTCAGATGACATCACAGTCTATAGATTTATTTGGTAATATAATGAGTTGTAGTGTTTGGTTACAGAAATGATTAGGCTCAACATTTGTGAATTTTACTACAGTGATATCTCTTATGAAAATACAATGTGGAAAATACGCTCTTGCCCCTGAGAGAATAACGTCATCACACTGCAGAATCTGAAACTACAAACAACAGTATTTGCATATAGGGAGGAAGGCCTATTAAAATATACACACATTTGTACAGAAAGGCTATTACACTTTCGATTGGCCAAATTTAGAGGAACATGATGTTGATATGTGTACTCACTCAAGGACATTGTTTCTACCCCTATCTAAAACTTCCTCTTGTTCTTGAGCACTTTGTTGCCATTATAGCTCTTTCACTGGTAATATTATCTTGTTGCTGTTTCATTGCATTTCTCAGGACAAACTAGGTAGGGCCTTTGTAAACTTTAATGTCTTCTTGGGAAATGAAGTGTCCAATCAAAAAGAAAAATGAGCTTCACATGTGTTGCTTATTTGGGTTAAACCTTAGAAAATTCTCTCTGATCTTTTTACGAACCTCTTGTATATATTTATTCCATTTCATTTTTACTTGTACAAACACATTTATATAATTTTGCCTTATTTAACACCAGTCTCTTGCTATTTTTATGTGATGTTTGACCTACTGTGTCTAAATAACTTCCCTTGCAATCAATAAAGTTTGTCTAAGTCTAAGTGATCAAAATTGTTACTACCTAAACCCCAGCACCTGCAGTCAACCATTACTCAGTGCTAGTCCAGCTTTTTCAGCTCAGTGAGCTTTCACATAATGCATGGCCTGTGCATATACCGAGTGTTTTCTATCTGCAGGTTTAGGCACCGGTAACCCGATTGTACTATCTTTTTTAAAACTGTAAGAGTGCTGACTATAGTTCCTTTAAGATAAGAAAAACAACTCTTTGCACTTAAAATAAGAAACAAAATCGAATGTTGCTTGAATTAAGAAAAACTTAATTATGGAATTTTGGACAAAGGACCTCATTTCCTAGTTAGCCAGAGTGTTGGAGACATGGAAAGACACTTTTTAAAAATTTCATCAGAGGTCGCTGATGCTAGGCTAACGCATGTCAATGGCCATAGTTAGCCTGCTGCTAAAAACAGTCTTACCCACTCTATAAAGCACCCAAAGCAAATCTATTATTTCGCTAGACTACTGATGTGAATGTCTATGTTGATAGAATAATGTTTGAAATAAAACTAACCTTGTGTCGCATGAGTCTTCGCATGTTGAGGGACAATTTTTTCATATATCAGTCCACCGCTGCCAAGCTTTCTATCAGGAAATACAACTTGCGGCTGCTGCTCAGACATAAATACTTCAAATACAAGTTTGGTTTTACTTCTAAACAGTCTGGCATTATAGTTGTTTTAAGACTGCTTTTAGTGGCAGGCTAACTATGGCCATTGACATGTGCTAGCCTAGCCTCAGCGACCTCTGCAAATACAAGGACTGGATGGAATATTTTAAAAAGTGCCTCCACACGTCTCCAACACTCTGACTCACTAGGAAATGAGGTCCTAGTATCGATATCGGGGGCTGCTGTATCAATGTATCACCAAGAGTATTTTTTGGTATATTTTACTAAATTATTTTGTTACAGAGCTACAGTTTTGTTGCTTGTTTGGAGAAAGGAACCTCATTATGTGACACATTTGACATTTTCACTATTTTTGATGATTAAAATGTAGGTGTTTCATATTCACTTTGCACAAGAAGTGGTTTAACAAAGAATATCACAGGCACAATTTAGCCTTTATTTTTATTAAACTGTATCAAATCGATTTGAAATATATCGTATCAAATTGAAAGAGCACTGTATCGAGATATGTATCGTATCATGGCCTATGTATCGAGGTATGTATCGTATAGGCAACTTTTTAATGTTACCCAGCCCTAATCAAGTTAAATCTACTCAAATAAAGTCAAATGTGTATAATTTAAGTAATTTTAACTTACCTCATATTGCTTTTTGCAGTGTGGAGCCCATCACAAACAAGCATATTTGACATTTTTTCCCTTTTGCGGGGATACCAACTCAACATTTGTGCATTTTAGGAGATTTTAGCAGATTTCTTCATAAAAAACATACCATAAATTAGTTTGACATGAAAGCAACATTTTCTTTTTTCCTCAGATCTTGTTTGACTTGCGCCCATGCAGCGGTTCCAGCCACGTGCTCCTTTTGGCTCTGAAACCTAAAATATTTATGGAGTCCTTGTCAGAACAGATTTATGCAGCGTCACTGACTAAAGAGAGGTCTATGAAAGGACAGTGGGGAGAAGAATCATGAAATATGGATTACATTAAAAAGTTAAACATGGTTTGAAAATGTAGGTTAACTGAAATTCTGTCAAACTTAAAGGTCATACTATGAAAAATGTATTCTTGTGAGCTTTAAGCAATGTTAGAATGTCATTACTTCATCAAAAACATGCCTGGAGTTGTGTTTTGTTTCATTCACACATGTTTGAGTAACCCTTTTTTAATAGTCTGTCTACATCATTCCACTTTGTGATGTCACGAAGTGGTAGTTTCCAAGTTTACAGCTACTTTTTACATTTAGTTCAGTCGATTTGAGTGAAGGAGTATGGCGTTTAAAAACACAGTAGAGCACTTCCTGTATTACCACATGACATCACAAGGTGGAACAGAGTGTTTTCTGTTTGCACATTTAGTTCTTGTCTCAGGGTTTGTGTGTTAAACATGTGTGAATGAAACAAAACAGAACTCTAGATGTGTTTTTGATGAGGCAACTACATTATAACATAGATCAGAAAATAGCATAATATGGGTACTTTAAATAATTCATCTTTAAAAATATGCAATCTTATGTAATTTTAACATTTCTTTGACTAAGAACAAAGAGAGAAATCTGTGCCTTCTCTAACTGCATGTGATTCAAACAATAAACTAACTATTCAGAGCCCTTACATAACTTTCTGTAACAATAGTCTGTTTGTTAGTATGCACACTGCACATTTCTCTGATCTGACCAAGATTTTAAAATGATATCAGGGTATTCATCTTGTTTTCACATTTATTATCTACTTACTAGTTCTGAGACTGCTTCATTCTGTTCTAGTTGTTTATTTTAAGACAACTTGTCAAGTAAAATGATCTTGCTGCATGGACAGATCATTTCACTACTTTTGAGTCATTTTCTGATAGATTTAAGTGTTTATATCTTAAATTCTGGCCAAGCCTTTTTTTGCAAATGCTAGTGTTGCTTTTCTTTAAGCTTCAGTGCTTTCTGTGCTGTTTCTCGAAAACACCTTGTCATGCTGCCTTCGCTGGCTCCCTTCCACTGAACCAATGATCATTTTGTTCTCCAGACACTGCTGCTTCTGACTGGCCCTTAGGTTATCTTAGATTTGCAAGACATCACAATATTCTCAAATCCCTCTAATTTAAAGGGCCCATATTACGATATTTTCTGAGCTATGTTACAATGTTTTTTCCTCATCAAAAACATACCCAGAGTTGTGTGTTTTCTTTCATTCACACATGTTTATCACACACACCTTGCATATTTAGGCTGAGGTCTTCTCTCAAACTGAAAAAAAACTCTGTCCCACCTTGTGATGTCATGTGGCAATACAGAAAGTGCTTCATTGTGTTTTTAAACTCCACACACCTTTACTATTCCAATCCAATCCACTTTATTTTTATAGCACATTTCACAAACAAACAGTTTCCAAAGTGCTGCACAAATACATAATAATAACAACAACAATAAGATGATAAAATAAACCACTAAAATAATACTAGTCTTAAAATAATAAAACTAGTAAAATAAAATAAAACCAGTAAATTCATACCAGTCATTTGGATGATTTCAACCATGTAATTTCCAATCTCTACTGAAGTAAACATATAAGGGAACATGAAAACTACCGCTTGATGATATCAAAAGATGGAACGGAGCATTTTGAGCTTTACAGATGTAGACAGGTGAATAAGAAAGGATTACTGAAACATGTGTGAATGAAACAAACCACAATTTTAAAGCTCATAAGAATCCATTTTATGTAATACAGGACCTTGAAAATGGAGCTGGTGGACAAATGTAATTCTTTAACTGTCGGACTGCAGATTTGTTGACCTGGTTTATGCTGAATATCTCTGTTATTACTACCCACATGATACAAAAACTGGTACAAAGTTCAGCGCCTCCT